CCGCCCGCACCCCATGGGGCCCGCACTCCTGCCCTGCCCCGCGCCTGCTCTCGTTGTAGTGGGACACGCCGGAGGAGGTCGAGCGGAGGGAGAGGCGCTCGCCGGCATCCCTCGCCTGGGCCCGCACCCGCCGCCATGAGCGTCGGTCTCCAAAGTAAGGCTTCTGTCCCCCATCAACAGGTCCAGCTGTCCCCCTGCCCCGTTTGCTGTCTACCCCAGTGCTGTCTCCTCGTCGCCCTGCCTTGTTCTGCCCCTTTCTCTTGTGCCCCCTCTAACGGTGTGCTTTTCCTAGGGAATTTGCCTTTGTGTGCTCCCCCCAGCCGGCCCTGTGGAGCCTGCAGGGTGGTGCGGTGGGGAGGAAGAAGAGACTCTTCAGTTCAGAGGTGCTGCTGCTCTTCATCCCCTCACTGCTGCTCAGCCATCTGCTGACCCTGGGGCTGGGGTGAGTTTCCCATGGGTCTGATTTGTGCTGTCGAGCGGCGTTGGCCAGAACTGACCCCTGAGGGTGCAGGCGGAGCGCAGCCCAGCTCTTCTGGGTGTCTGCGCTCTCTGAGGTCATGCGGCAGCCTCTGGCTGTCCTGACCCAGGGGACCGTTCCCACGGGAAGTTGGGATGCGGAGGAGCTCTCCTGCAGTTGGACTGTTCACCCTTCGGTCTTGTACCACTTCTCCCTGCAACCGTGTGTCTCCTTTGCGGCTGCTGTCCTCTGCCTCTCACCACTGACTCGCTGAACCCGCATTAGCTGTCCTCCCAGGCGCCTTACAGTCTGTCTCTCCAATCCAGGATCTACATTGGGAAGCGGCTGGCAGCCTCCTCGGAAAACCCGCTGTGAAGAGCTAGCCGCAGCGACAGACAGGTGGCTCCACTCCCCTGCTCCTCCAGTCGGCGTGTGGAGGGAGTCCAGGCACCAGCACAGCCCATCTGGTCCCAGACTTCATGTTTGCGGCGCAAGGCGCCGTCTCCCCTTGTCCCTTCCCTCGCTCTGGCCTAGGGAGCCGATCCTTTCCCTCTCCTGTAGCCAGAAACCCATTGATGGCGGCTCCCTGCTGCAGGCAGCCCCTGCCCTCTCCATCCCTTGGCTGCGGGTGCAGGGTCCTCCTGCTTACTACGGAAGACTGTAAATACAGCTCCTGAGCCTGCAACAGCGCGTGTAAATAAATAACTCTGTGCCAGCTCTGGAGGCAGAGCAGTGTGCCGACAGTCGCTTTGCGAGAGCCCGGGCACTGCCGGCCTGGGGGAGAGCGTGCTCCCCGGTGGCGCCAAGCTGCCATGGCTTTCCCTGCCGAGGGGGCTCCAGGCTGTGGGAGAGCAAGGCCCCGCTCTTTGGAGCGCGATCCGGTGCTGGATGGCGGCTGGCCTCGGAAAGGCCCCTGGGGTGCTGGGCGCGCGCATGGGTGAGCGCTGGGGGCATACAGGGCTGTCAGCCCCCTGCAGGGTACCCAGCTGAGTTAGTCCTTTATTGGTAGGCGCGTGGTCGCAGCCTGCTGCAACAGGGAGGCCGGGGCACAGAGAATCACTGTGGCATCGCTGGAGCCTGGCATGGCTGATGGAGGCAGCAGCATCAGCCTGGCACCGGTGGGGCTGCAGAGACAGGTATCAGCAGGAGAACTGGCGCTACGCAAAACACAGCGCTGCCCGGCCACGCTCGCCGACCTGCCTGGAGCCTGTGCAGCCTGGCGTCCTGGCCAGACATGCTTGCTCTTGCTGCAGGATGGGGTAGGCATCCAAGGGAAGGGAGGTTCCCTTGGGGTGGAGAGCAGCAGGGGCGGAAGAGTCTGGCACGTGGTGGCAGGGAGCTCGTCTCGTTGCCCTGCTCCTGGGATGGTCTGCAGGCAGCTCAGGGCGGAGGGAAGACCTCTCCGCCGCGGTGTAGCTGCACCACCAGAGGGGCTGAGAGCTCAGTGCAGTTTGGGGGGGGAGAAGCCCTGGCACTGGTGAAGCGTAGCTGGCTTGGGTTAGCGGGAAGGAAAGCCTGGCCCGGGGGCTGACGCAGAGCGCAGGGGCAGGGGAGGTGTCCCTGGGCAGGAAGGTGGGTCCCCGTGCTGCCCGCTGCGGGGCTTGCGCACCCTCGGAGACGGTGGAGGGTGGCAATCGCCAGACCTGGCTGGATGTGGGCTGGTGATGCCCTGCATCTGCCCTGCAGCCCTGGGCACGCAGGGAGTCCGGCAGCCTTGGCCACGTGGGATGCTCCTGACGTGGATGCTACGAGAGAACTGTGAGAGGGATTGTCCAGCAAGGAAGGATGAGAGCAGGAGTCTGTCTAGGAGACAGCTGGGAGCAGGGGGGCCACGGGCTTTCCCGTCCTCACGGGCAAGGCTGGTCCCGAGTGGACGGTGCAGCTACGGGTGGGCATCGCGTCAGAGCTGTGACACCCATTTGGACTTTGGTGGCGGAGGAGGGGGTGACTTCAGCCCCTTCTTTCCATCCAGTGTCGGCAATGCTGGTGCCTGCAAGCGGAAAGGGTGGTTACCGCGAGCAGGTGGTGGCGGGGTCTGGGGGCCCGGGGCTCGGGGTACCTTCCCTCCGCTTGCGATGTCGCTCTGCTCCAGGAACGTCTCGTACACCGTGGGGCTGATCTTCCGCGGCAGCGGTGGGGCCTTGCTGGCACTCTTCA